GTAGTGGTAGTGGTAGTGGTAGTGGTAGTGGTAGTGGTAGTGGTAGTGGTAGTGGTAGCGGTAGGAGTAGTAGGAGTAGTAGTAGTAGTAGTAGTAGTAGTAGTAGTAGTAGTAGTAGTAGTAGTAGTTATTAGTAGTAGTAGTAGAAGTAGTAGTAGTAGTAGTAGTAGTAGTAGTAGTACTAGTACTAGTACTAGTACTAGTACTAGTAGTAGTAGTAGTAGTAGTAGAAGAACAAGTAGTAGTAATAGTACTAGTAGTAGGAGTAGTAGTAGTAGTAGTAGCAGTAGTAGTAGTGGGTAGAAGTGGTAGCAGTGCTAGTAGTGCTAGTAGTGCCAGTAGTTAGTAGTTAGTAGCAGTAGTAGCAGTAGTAGTAGTAGTAGTAGTAGTAGTAATAGTAGTAGTAGTAGTAGTAGCAGCAGTAGCTGTAGCAGTAGTAGTAGTAGTAGTAGTAGTAACAGTAGTAGTAGTAGTAGTAGTAGTAGTAGTCGTCGTCAGTAGGAGTAGTAGAAGTAGTAGTAGTCGTCGTGGTCGTCGTAGTGGTAGTGGTAGTAGTCGTCGTCGCAGGAGGCAGTAGTCGTAACTTCATCTCTGTATTTTTTAGCTGTTTGAGGCCTGAAAGAGTTGCTCTTCCGCAAGCTGTGATCCTGCACTGCATGAAAAAATATGCATCAGGATCACCAAAATTTCGTACTTCAGCGGCGAACGCGGCAACCTTGCCGAATCATCTCTTAAGGATGTATTGAATGTGGGACGGGCACGGGAAGCACTGATCTCCGCCGCCAAGACCGTGTGCTCCGGGAACCTGCCTTCTCCGACTCTGTGCCTAAGCACTCCAAAGTCTAGTACAAGTTCAAACTGCTGCTCTCGCCGTTGTGGACGCTGCCTCTTGTCTGCATTGCCAATGCTGTGGTGTGTCATGTTCGAGTTCTGATGTTGACTGCTTGCTATCTCCATTGTCTGCAACATGTGTCTGACTGCCACCGTCTGCTGTCATCCTTGCAAGGGAACTACATTCTTAGCATGATCCTTGATTTTGCCAGCTTGATGGTGTCGTGTTGTTGCTTTCTTGATGTCGCTCGTGTGCGTGGTCCTTGCAATATTAAACAGGTTGTATCTTCCAACCGTTGCCACCATGTTTCACGCAAGCCTTGCAGTAAGAACCTGTGCAGTTCTTCTGTCGTCTTCATGATAGAAATTACTGTGAACATGGACCCAGAGTCCTTGTGCTTGGTTTTGGTATTGCACGGTCATGCAGCATCCTTAGTATCCAACGTGTGGCCATGTTGCGATGGCTATCTGATTTTTGGGTTTGAGGCCGAAAACATTGAAGGAAGCCGCTGCTTTTCGCAACCGCGTTGTTCACTGTTCCGTTCGTTCTGACGGAGGGTATGTCACGATGCGTGATCCACATTTAGGGTTTAGGGTTCGGGTTCATGCAAATGCAAGCCGCAGATGCTGAAAGGGAGATCTGACAGCTTGTCATCGTTGATCTCCGCCAGAAGGTTGATTTGTTCAGCATACCTGTAATCTTGAACAAGGCTGTCGCTGTCAAGGTGTTCGGAACTTGCAGCTCATCATCTATGGATCAAAAACCAAGTCCGGCACCGGGCATGCTTGCAAGTCTGCAGCCCAAGCCTCTTCGAGATAATCAACGAGCCCAGCAAGAACAGTTACACGTAAACGCATCGGGCGACATCCCGCATAAGGCGGTAGGTTTCAAAAGCTCATGTTCATGTACTTTCTGGTCCCTAGAATTCGCCGTTCTCGACGGATCCGTTCTTCTGCCCGATTGTACAAAAGTTTTAGAATAATTCGGGTCTTCACAAGTAGCATCAGGTTTTGGAGTATATCCTGATAGATTTGTGCCCTGAGGCATCGAGTCCCCATATTCAACGTAACCCTGAGCCCCTAACCCTAAATCCGGTAGTACCCGCATAGTACCCTTCTAGAAACCTTGTAGAATGCGACCCCTGTATCATAGGTTTGGGTTTAGGGGGACCTACAGTCACTATAGAAAAACCTTTCCTTATATGGCCCAAGTACATACTGCGATGGGACTTGATGACTAGGGCGATAAATAAGGCATGCATGCCAAGAGGGCCCATACATCCTACTAATTACTACGGAATTAGGCTCCCAAAACCAAACATAAGGATGGTGCTTTGGAACCTATTTCCATGCTCTTCGTATATATGGACCCTACAGTATACCATATACAGCACGCATAAACGTACTTCTACGCCCCTATTTATGTCACATGTTATAACCCTGTATATCCCTTGCAATACGTTTTTTTGATACCCACTTAGATGAGACCCAAAACCCGAAATCCTGAAACCCAAAACCCTTAACCCTCAAACCCTGAAGCCCCAAACCCCCAAGTACACGGGCACAGCGACCTGCAATGTTTCCCGAAACGCCGCAAAGCCCTCAACCCGATACTCTCTGAACAGACTTGGTTAGGGCTTTAGGATTCAGGGTTTGTAAGTTTGTAAGTCTTCGGGTTTAGGGTTTATGGCCTCGTCGCAAAGGTGATGACACACTCGGCGATGTTGGGGTGCTCCTTTAACGTCTCCATGAGGCGGCAGGTTGGCAAAGCCAACCTCATTTTCAATTTCCATCTTGGCATCCCTATACTGAGACAGGTTTGGAGGATAAATATATTGGTAATCCGCAACCACGCTCAGTCGGGCAGACACTGTTTTTGGGGAGCCTTCACCGTGCTACTTGAGCGCAAACGGGCTACCAACGGGCCTGTGAAGAAACACGACATAGCACGAGTAGAGCGTGCTATCCCAATCGTAATTTCGCTCTTCTTTAGCAAGACCTCAAAGAAGCCAAACAGAACAACGCCTCTTCGGCAAGCCTTGTAGTAGACTCCGCAAGAATCACCAGAAGCACCCGTAACCCTGAACCCGAAATCCTCAACCCGAAGCTCAGAGCCAGCCTCACTGACATCTCATGACGAGAGCCACAGACGTCCCTTTCTTAATCGAGTAAGCCTTCGAAACCCTGATCTGTCAACCCGAAATGAAACCCAAAGCCCAAACCCGAAGCATCAAACAGACTCTTACACCCCTGGATGAATATGCCCCTATCTAAATTGTGATCAACAGACTGAAAAAAACATACCTATATGTATTTATGTTACCCCCCCCGATGAACTACCGACCCTCGTTTTGTATCGAAAAACCGTGTTGAACCAGCTTTTTCCGGCAGGTCCGGATTCCGTATCTGTCAACGGCTGCCAAAACCAAACTCACATTTCAAGACAACATGTTAGACAACTCGTTCAGGTTGGACGTGAACGCGCACTCAACGGCAACACTGTACTCTTCCAATCAGAAACCAACCGCCAGGCAACTCGTTCAGGATCGACGTGAGCACGCACGGCAACACTGTACTCTTCCAATCACAACTCACTTTTTCCTACGAAAACCCAAAACACCATCTTTTGGGAAAATATACGGCCAGACTCGTGGTTGGCCCTAGGAAAGAGTTGATTTTCTCTGGGAAACCCAGCTTTCTCCCAGGAAAAGGATGGTCTTGGCCGAAAATCCAATATTTTTTCCTAGGGAGAGATGGTTTTGAGCGAGGGAAAACCAAAAAAACAAAAACATAAACATCTTTGGGGAAAGCTCACGGCCAGACTCCAAGAAGATGGTTGTTTTTGTTTTCTATCGGAAAAAAGCTGGTTTGCTATTGGAAAATCCAACTTTCCCCAGGAGAAAGATGGTGTCGCGTTGAAAAGCCGACCTTGTCCTAGCAAAAAAATGGTTTTGAACGGAAAAGCAAACTTGTTCCTAGGAGCGAAATGGTTTTGGGCTGGAAAACCCCATTTTACCTAGAGAAAACCAGAAAAATTGTGGAGTCTGGCTGCATAGTTTCCCAACAGATGTTCTTTTCTGGTTTTCCAAAAAAAAAATGTTTTTCTGTCAAAAACCATGTTTTCCTAGGAAAAGTTGGCATTCCACTCCAAAACCAAGGTTCTCCTGGCAACGAGTGTGCATTTCATTTGTCTCCCCGCGTTACGAATTAATGTTGCCCATAAGGTTCCAATATCGTGGCTATTGGGATTCGATTCCGCTCAGCATTAATACTCTACAATATATTTTGTAATAACCAGGAAATTGTTCGGATCAGTTTTGGGGTCTATGGAGAGCTGGTTATGACAGCCACCGCTACGATGCCTTCTAGCTGACTGAAGTTGTAAATTAAATAAGAAGACATCGGGGTCACAAAATTGGTGGTGCTAAGGCGACTATGGATGGCCTTCGTGCTGCTGTCAGGGCGAATACTACGGTCACCATTGATGTACAGGCGAATGACAAGCATAGGTTAGGGTTGATGTTGTTTGGAATCAGGAGTCAGTTCAGGATCCTCGCCGTTATGTTGGTATCTAGTACAGGTTTAACATTAGGGTTCGCATGTGTCTATACACACATATATGTACATACACACATGTGGGCGAGTCTGTCACCAAGTCTAGCATGATCATATACTATAGTGAGAACGTGGGTGCCATATACAATATGTTGACGTAAACAAGCAAATGCTGGCATCATCCCCAAAAATCTAAGGGCTTTCATTTGGGGAACGCCAGAACGAAGACGGCAAGGATCGTGGTTCTTAGTGGAAGTCGTTTTGTGTAGTTTAGTTGTATTAGCATGAGTATGACGGCAACCGTTGAAGTAGATGCATGGGCAGTATTCCGCTTACATGTATTGACTTAATATTAGCAGTACCTAATATTGGGGGTGCCATGGCTTTTAACATAGGGGGCTTGAGTGCGATCCCACACCTACATCTGGATGAACTAACCTGTTGATGAGGCCAATGGTCGGGGTTTCTCCTAAGGCCATTAGTTGGGTTGCAGTTGAAGGAAGTATCCGGTACAGGGAAGCTCTCATGGGTAGTATTATGGCGAGCAAGGTCCAACTTGGGGGACTGCGATCTCCTTACTATCAGGGGGCCAATCAGGCTGATGCATGTTGTTGTATTAACCTGCAGGTCGGTATGGGAGTTGATATGGGGATGTATACATAGTGGGGTTACAAGTCGACATAACAAGATATGAATCTATAAGGCATCCTCGTTGGGTGAACATGAGTTAGAAGACTACTGTCACCATTGGGGCCAATGTAAGGTCTAACGGCAGGGTTAGTCTAAGGGATATTGTTGTTTAGGAACTGAAGTCAGTCAATGCTCACGGTCATTCATACGTAGTGCTGGGGCATTGATCTGAGACTACAGCGAAGGCTATCCTGGGTGTTAATGCTCGGGCCTATGTTGAGCTTCGGGTATTCAAGCAGAAATGACTCGCATCGTTGTGGAAATTATCTCCCAGCGTATCTGCGTGAAGGGTCGCAAGAATTGAATGAAGACAGCTGCCGATATACATATGCTGTCCCCTAGGAGCTTCAAGACCTAACGCTAAGCCAGGATCATACACCGGAAGCCTAAACTTAGGAGGATTTGTGGAGCTGTCGCGGCACCTCACGGTGATTCTTGGGGGGCGTTAGTTAGCATATACATATATATATATATACATATACACATATACACATATATACATATATACATATATACATATATACATATATACATAAATACATATATACATATATACATATATACATATACACATATATACATATATACATAAATACATATATACATATATACATGTATACATATATACATGAATACAGACATACATATACACACATACCAATATAC